CTTTCACTGTAATTTATTTTTTATTATTTAGGGAGCATTATAAATGCCCCCCAGTGGCACAGCGATATGTCTGCGGACTTACAACGCTAGAAACCGGGTTTCGATACCCGTGGTGAGCAGAGCACAGATAGCCCATTGTGTAGCTTTGTGCTTAATTCCAAACAAACAAGCATTATAAATAGTTATGTTTTTAAAAGAAAAAAATCTATTATTTTTATAAGTAACACATTCAATTGAACTAAACTATGCATGCCTATTTACATATATTTACACATGGCTTGTGTATATCGTATATATACATATATATTATTCATACCTTCGATGTATAGGACGCAAGCAGATTTTGATATCAAATTTTGGGGTAAAAAAGTGCATCTTATACACCGAAAAATACGGTAACTGTTCATTCTTCATTATATGATACCAGGATCAAATTACATGGTACCCTGGTAGTGGATGATATCACACTACAATATACTGAGTTGATGATATCACACTCTGATATACCAGGATAATGAAATTACAACTTCCAAACTAACATGAAATATTAGTTGTATAGATCAAGATATCAAAACTAACAATATATATATAAGCCAAGTGTCAGTCGGTCACGCTCGGTTTCTCCGAATTTCGCGAGTTACACGAGTCCAATTCCACTTTTCTCGTATAATACTTCATATTTTGATTGCCTGATCCCGTTTTAGTTGAATGTAATTGCTAACGTAGGCGTAAATAGCTCCTAAATTTCGGCACTGTTTTCTGCTATATAAAAGAGTGTCAAGGAGTGAACTCCCAGGACCAAATCAGGCATGGTGTTATGTGTGTGACATAACACCATTCACATCATTATGACGTCAAGTTAGGTAGGATCCAAGTAGGAAAGCCGGGAATACTCCCGTGAAAAATAAGTCAAAAATTAGCGTAAATCTATGCTTGGGAATTATTTCGAAAAAGCCTTTGTTAAAACAGATTGAAGATACCAATTATCTGTGGGGAAGAGGACAACTTTTCTTTAGAAGAAGAACAGGTGTGTTTTAATCTTTATCCAAAGGCACCAATATGTAGCACGTTTGCTTAGATATATGTAGTGGATTCAGGAGCAATATGTAGCATGTTCCTGGGAAAGGACGTTTTATATTTAATTGATTTATTTCTTTTGTGTATTGCTAGTTTTATACGGAATAGTTCCTGTTTTCAGTGGTTTCCCGTCATTTTTGACGGGATTTTACGCTAGTATAACATAATGTATAAGTTGTAAAGATCAATTG